ACCACCATGAGCAAGCACTTGGCGACAAGGGCAAGGAAAAACTGCCTGTTAAAAGGCAGAAACATAGGACAGATCCTCCGGCTCTAGGTGGTTGGTCGTCTGTCTCGACTCACTCACTCACACACACACACACACACACACACACACACACAGTGTCACTAAGTGGAAATATTTTTATACAAAGAAGACAAGTGAGTGAAATGCTTTGGAGAGTTTATTTACACAAAAAGTGTTACACAGTATGTGCCTATACAAAACTCATGGCCATAGAACCAAGTGGCCTATTCTGAGTAATAAGTAGAACATAGTGCAAAGTTTACAGTAATCATGGCCATAGCACCAAGTGGCCTATTCTGAGTAATAAGTAGAACATAGTGCAAAGTTTAGAGTAATCATGGCCATAGCACCAAGTGGCCTATTCTGAGTAATAAGTAGAACATAGTGCAAAGTTTAGGCTAACAATGACCATACCCCCAAGTGGCAAATTATCTTTGAATAACACCAGCATGTGCAAAACTATCTTAGGATGGATTCAGAGCAGCATAATTCTTCGGTTCTGGTGACCCTATACAAAATAAGAAAACCTGGTTACATCTCAAGATTGTGTTAGGCAGACTCTTGAACTATTTTTTCCCTTTCTCATGCTGTAACTTACATTAAAAATCAATAGGGGTGGGTAAAATATCGATTCATCAATGCATTGCAATATATTTTTCCCCAATTCAGTATCGATTCAGAGGATTTAATGAATCGATACTGAATTGGGGAAAAATATATTGCAATGCAAATATATTGCAAGCCCCTGCCCAGTGGGGGCGCGGTGAGCAACACCTTTGTGTGATTTGCCTTGTACGGACGGAGGCCGTACTCGACCACATAACAACAACATGGCAACCGAAGCAGGTAGCAGCAGTGTTAAACCAGTGCCTGTAATTAGGGACCGAGCCAGCGACCGCTGGAGGTCCCTATTGTTTTTGCTTGATTTCTTACCTATTATTTTTATTATGTTTAGCGCCTTTGACTACGTTTTTGCCCCCTTGAACATAAACTAAACGAAAACTCAATTTGGTCAGGCCTTGTGAAAAATTTGATATTCTATGCGACGCTTTTGGGTTGGCCACTAGGTGGCGCTACTATCGTAAAAAATGCGTTTAGGCTAATAACTTCTGCATAGTTTGTCGCACATTCAAAAATGTATCCACGCGTTCGGTGAAGGGAGCTGAATCTTCCCATATAGGCCCCGCCCACTTCCGCCTATAATTTTTCTTCGTTAGAGCGCGAAATGTCCATAAACTACTTTTCCGTGTTCCTCCTAAACGCTTTGTCCGATTCGCACACAATTTTTCACCTAGCACCTGGGGACCGCCCTGGTAATTTTAATTTGAACATTTTTGAAATTTCAAAAAATAAGCCCGCTATATAATTCAAACTTCCTGTACATTTTTCGTCAAAAAAGGAAGTGGATCATTTCTCCACATTGGTATGTCCGATTGTCACCAAACTTGGGTCCATAGTTCATCATGTATTTCTTAGGCATCGTGCACAATTTCAGGTCATCGCCACTAGGTGGCGCTCCTTAAAATAAAGAGGTTTATATCTCTACAACGGTACGTGTGATTAAAATGAAACTGGGTACGATGATTGCCCATGGCTCCCTGAGGCTCACTTAAAAAAGAAAAAAAATGACGCCACAAGGTGGCGCTTTGGTGGCAGCGTAAATCCCTGTGTGGAGACCGTAATAGTTATGAATATGAAATTCACAGGGCACGTGTAGAGTGGTGCCTGAAGCTCACATACCAAAAATCGTGTTCTTCGTGTTTGTAGCTCCCCCTACAGGATAAAAAAAAAGGAGCCCCGGCGCCACGTTTCATCGATATGTACGAAACTTGGTAGGCACGTGTAACATGCCGAGACGTACAAAAAGGCCTCTTGGACCCATACCCGAAACCCCGCAGGAAGTCGGCCATTTTGATTTTCATTTTCACTTTCGGCGAACTTTTCACGTTGTATTTGAATGAACTCCTCCTAGGGAATTTATCGGATATGCTTCAAAATTTGTGAGCACAGTCAAAGTATGTTGCTGATTAAAAGTTGTGCTATTTGTGCATGTACATTAAAGGGCGTGTCCGTGGCGTTCCCTCAAAGTTGGCCAGGTTGAATCGAATGTCAAACTGTGATGCTATTTCCGGCATTTAAGGGCTTCTGTTTTAACTAACTCCTCCTACAGATTTTATCAGATTGACTTCAAATTCGATCACTTCAATCTACACACATTGGTTATCAAAAGTTGTGCTATTTGTGATGTATGTTTAACTGTGTGCCCGTGACGACGTGTCGAATTCCACCGATTGGCCATCAAACAGATAGTACTCATATCTTCAGTGTACAGTCCCACCCTGAACACGTCCTCATAACTTCAGCGTACATGATCCAATCTCAGTGAAACTTCAGGTGTTTGATAACAGTCTCACCCTGAACACGTCTACATGACAATATTCAGACATAGTGATAGTGCCACATACTGGTAACAGGAAGTATCACGTTTTATACTTTCATGTTGTACTCCTCGCAGGATGATCAGATCCAGCTGAAATTTACTTATAAAATGCAAAACACATTGTTGATGATATGTGTTGACTGTGGTGAGGGGGCGTGTCTGTGGGGTGGCAGGAAATTTTGATGGACTGCCACAAAACACGAATTCGCTATAACTTGAGTGTACATTGTCCAATCGGCTCCACACTTCAAATGCTTGATAACAGTCCCGCCCTGAACACGTGTACATGACAATATTCAGACATAGTGATAGCGCCACCTACCGCGAACAGGAAGTAAGCGCTGCGTGGCGATTTTGAGCTGATTAACGGAAGATTTTCATGTTGTGGTCCGCACGTGTTACGACGGCACGCGACGCGGCTGCAGCACGCCCCAAGTTGCATGGAGTGCGTGGTCATGCCCAACGCTGCTTGCAGCTCTAATTCTACTTATTACTGAATCGATATCAAAGCATTTAAATCAATAACGAATGGATATCGACTCGAATTGTGACCTACAGAATCAAAATTTGATCGAATCGTGAGGTTCTAACGATACCCAGCCCTAAAAATCAACTACTAGCCGAGTAAAACTGGATCATCTAGGCTAGTCGTCACTAAGTACCTGGTTTTAGACCTTAACAATAGCAAACGTGTTTCATAGACATAGAGATAGTCTCAGAGCATTCATTACAGTTTATTTTAAATTCTGGTATGAAATTGCATTTCATTGATTTGAGCTGATTTTGTTTGAACTGAGTTGATTTAAAGGCATACTATGCAGTTTTCCGGTTTTGTCAAACAGCTACCCCTAGAGTCACTGCGGAGTACTTGTATTTAACGTTAACTGTCGTAAATACCACTCACCAGAGCCGTCTCTCTATACGGCTCTGTGTCTCTGTACTCACGGCCTGATCCCCTCCCCCTGTATACCGGTAGGTAGATAGATAGATAGATAGATGGATAGATGGATAGATAGATAGATAGATAACTTTATTAATCTCACAATGGGGAAATTCACTTGTACAATTAGTACAGATATAAAAAACAGGAACATTTGCATACAGCAGGTCCAAGGTCTTATTGTCTCTGGTGGTGCATGTGACAAACTGGTGGAAGGTTGGGTGTGTGGACGAGAGAGAAATGTGGTTGAAGTCCCCTGTGATGATGATGAAGGCCTCCGGGTGTTTCGTTTGTAGTCCTGCAGTCACAGTGTGGATGACGTCACACGCTGCTTCTGCTTTCCCAGACGGAGGAATATAGACAGTGATGGCGATAACACTGGAAATGGCAGATAATATGGACAAGTCCGACGGCGACGAGCTCGATGTCCGGGCCGCAGACACGCTCTTTCACACAGACGTGCCCGGGGTTACACCGCCTGTTGTTTATGAGCACGGCAAGTCCCCCTCCTTTCTTTTTGCCGGTCGCGGTGGTGTCCCTGTCGGCTTGAACCGTCTGGAAGCCGGGCATGGTGACGCTGGAGTCCGGTATCTGCTCGTGTAGCAACGTTTGTTTGCGGGGCGCCACCTTTCAGATTTGCATTGCTGGTTCTGCCAACGGCGTCCCTTTCCACCTTTGCTATACTACGAGTTTGTTTACCATCGAAATGACTTCAAAGCTGTTATATTAAGGTAAAAATCTTGCATAGTGTGCCTTTAAGGTCTCCACATTTACTGAAAGCTACGTAATGGCATCACATTATCCTTAAAACAATTCTAGTGGTACATAGCTTCAAGCTAACATTAGCTTATAGCCTTTCACAACAACAGCTACGCTACTCGTGCAGGTGATCTAATGGGGACAAAATATCTACTCCTCTAGCTTGTCAGCTTGTCAAAAGTATGAAAGTATGAACTATGATTCATCTGGAAACTACATTAAAACTTACTTGAGAATGAGGTATTTCCTGAAATTAGGTTCCATTAATCTTGAGGTTTACTCTGCCATCAACGCGCTTGCTTCTTCTTCCGTTTTTATCCAAACACATGTAGTGACCTGTCAGTTAACTGGGGTGGCATCTGGGGTGCCCAATTGGATTCCAGAGGGATCCAGAGCTACCCCGGCCACCCTTTTGACTGCCCCTTAGATCCTCTAATAGTGTTGCGTAATGGCTGCACTTAAGCAAGTTTGTTTTGTTCTCTATCAGTTTGGTATAGTATAGTAAATAACTAAATACAACATCCATCCATTAAGAGGCTGTTGTTATGGTAAAGACAGCAGCCTGAGGTGCAATCAGAGCTGTAACAAATTTATAATTATTCAACAGGAGCAAAACAACATACAATATCTGCTGACGTCATCCAAAATTGGCCCAGAATTAAAAGGGTCACTTGACAGAATTTTAACTTTGTTTCTCAGTAACACACTTTTGAAATGATTCCCATATGTTTTTATGTCCATATGTTTGACTTTATATGAAAGAACAAATATTAACTGATCTGATATTGTCTGTGCTCTGTTCAGCCTATGTGGACACATCCGACTGGGAATTCCCTGATGTTTGTAGGTACTACTTCGGCAAGTTTGGCCAGTGGTCCAGCTTGTTCTTCTCGATGGTGTCACTTATTGGAGCCATGGTGGTTTACTGGGTCCTCATGTCCAATTTCCTCTTCAACACAGGACAGTTTATCCACAGTAAGTCACGCTGCTCTTGTCTGATGTGGGTTGACCTTAAGGAATAGCCAGATGAGCATTTAAAAGTGTGAAACCTTTAGAAGGATCTATTGTCAGAAATGTAATATAACATTCATAGGTATGTTTTCATTCGTAATTACCTGAAATAAGAATAGTTGTGTTTTCGTTACCTTACTGGGTCCTCTATGTTGAACAGCCTTGCCTGACTGTTTCTACAGTAGCCCAGAATGGACTAACCCAACACTGGCTCTAGATAGGGCCTTTCACATTTTTTGCAAGTTCCACAGCCACAGCAGTTTCTCCTACATGCTTGAAAACCGAGCAGTGTCCAGTTAGTTGCAATCTGACACTAGACTCTTCACCACTAGATGCCACTAAATCCCACTCAATGGTCCTTTAATTCCAAAGTCTACCTCGAGATGTGCTCACAACTAGCTGTGTTTCCATCAATGTATTTTTATGCGCACTTTGAAGTATCAGAAAAGGTTGATGGAAACAGCAAGTAAAAAAATCAAAAGACCTAAGACTTTTACAGTGTTTAACAAAAAAGACTTTTCAAAAAAGCTGTAAGACTGTAAAAGAAGAGGTGGTTTTTGCTGTTGTTAAAAATAATGTAGTAGTAATGTAGTAATGTAACTACACAATCAGTATTGACAACCTCTTGACCTTTCAAATGCTGTGTGCTGTGATGTTTACTCTGTAGAGCATATACCAGGAGTATGGATGGGTGGTTCTGCCGAGAAAGTAAAATTGTAGTATTGAGATAACAGATCAGGAACACCTGCTTATGGTTTTTGTGCAGAGAGATGGTATATCATTAGTGGCTCTACCTCTTAAATATGCAAGAAAAGCTCATGCTTTGATCTGATGCGTTTCTTTCCTGTCTACAGACTATGCTTACAATGTCAACATGTCAGATTCAGAGTTTGGAACCAATGGCTCTGATAGAGGTAAGTCACTTCACCTCACTGACAGAAGTATTGTTGTATATGTTATTTGATGTGTGCCGATATGATTTTGATATCATTCTAGTATATAATGCAGAATGAAATGCTTGTAGTATATTCGTGTCACTGTAAAGTTAATCTAGCAAGAGTATGCTGTGATTTACTTTACTGTGGCAATTGGTAGACGATGTATAAATTAAATAATGTGAAAGAATATCTAACTGAAATATAAATTTAAAAAGTTATTTGTTTAAGAAAGCAGCCTTCTGAGTACCTTTGCATAGTTACATTGGTGCAAAATCTGTGCACAATCCACATAATAAAAGACTATTTTCACTCAACTCAAAAATTCACTGTATCGCCTGCTGTATTGGTAATCTGTATATTTTTTCCCTCTAAAACCAGTATTTGTCTCAAAAAGCCCACATCGGTTAGGCTGTACTTACAACTTTCAAATTTAACTTCAACTTTATTGACTGTGCTTTGAGGACCCATTCCCAGGTATCTAGGGCAGTTTGGCTAAGCTAACTAGCTAACAGCAACTCCATTTAGCAGCAGTTACTTTTCTGTCCATTAGGAAACTCTGCAAGTCATGGCAGCCAGAGGATATCAGAGGGAAAACCTGAACAGTGTTGTCCATAAAATCGGTCACATGTTGGTGGTATGCAACACTACTACTGCCTCTGGTTGATGATGCTTTGTTGATTTGTTCACCAGTCATCTGTCCATACCCAAACACTGACCCCGGAGGCAACTTCACCATCAGCACACATTACCTCGATAACAGTGGAAATGATACTTCTGATGTCGGCTCTTTTGAACACTGGTGGAGCAAAACTAACACCATCCCCTTCTACCTGATCATCCTGCTGCTGCCACTGCTCTGCTTTCATTCAGCCTCCTTCTTTGCAAGGTTCACCTTCTTAGGTAAGATAGAACAAGAGCAATGATATGAACAGCAGCAGTGGGTAGCAGTGTTTGTGGAAAGTCAAAAGGCTTGGACATTGCCTTTCTTGAAAAAAAAAAAAAAAAAAAAAAAGCAAGCCAGTGTGCCACCAGAATTTTGTTTGTTTGAAACATCAGTGACCTGAGGGGACATCGGTATGATTCTTTAGATCTTTGATTGTCTTTGAATCCTAGCTAAAGATTAAAGCTGCAGGTAGTTGCCAGTGTGTTGTATTTGTGACTGAAACATCTGACTTATAAACAAGTTGTATGTTCCAGACAGCAGGTTTAGTGAGAACTCTGTTTGTTAACCCTGAATGTGATGGGAAACTTAGTTTTCAGTCCCAGTAACAGAGATTATTTTAACTGTGGTGATGTACGCTGTGAACCTTAGCTGCTCGCTGGCAGCTTTCTCTTCTTTTTCCATTCTCTTATTCAGACGATATAAAAGTGCAGTAAGTTGACGTTTACACTGGCTGAAGGAGATCAAAATCTCAGTTGTTTTTTTTTAACAGCAACCTGTTAAAAATATTAAATGTTAAATGTTATTAATAGCTCACAATAAAAAGTTCTGAAGTTTTGAGAAAATCTTTTGTTGTTGCTAACCAGACCCCCTTGCACTGAAGCATTTACTGTACATTCCTGTAAGTCAAGTTCCTTAAGTGTCATATGCACAAACTAAATAACTCTGCAATATCATTATTTCAGATATTCATATTCATATTCAGAGTGAACATGAACTCAACTAACTCTGATCAGCTGTTCTGGAACCAAAAATTCTTGGGTTTTTAATCTCAGGGTTTGTCAAATCAGAGTTCAGGTTTACGTCAGACTTGCTTTCTGGAACAGGCATTGTGTCTGCATTCATCCATCTACTGTTTCACCATTCCATCTTGTCCAGGCACCATATCAGTGATCTACCTGATTGCACTGGTCACTGTTAAAGCTGTCCACCTTGGGTTCCATCTAGAGTTCCACTGGTTTGACACAACCCAGTTCTATGTTCCAGGTAAACTTCCTGCAGATTTGAATGCATCCCTATGTATCTCTCCACAGCAGAAGACCATTAACATCTGTGAGGTGTATAAGTCCAATTTAGACAGTGCCACTGATAAATATGCTGAACTGCTTTATGGCAGTAGTTTTGTATGGTTTATCCATCAATGTGATGACCTAGGTTAGATATTGAATTTGGTGGATGAGCCAAAAACAGACCTTATAAGTATTCATAATACCCATTATCAATGTTTTTTTGGAATTTTTAGTATATCATATATCAAGATTGTGAAATAAATTTGGATATTAAAGAGGCCATTTTGTTGATTATTCTTTGCATGTAAAAGGTGTGAAAAGTGACACTCCTCCTGTCAGGCTGATGGGAGCTGACTAATCAGAGTAGACTGTATATCTGTTATTTGAACATTAAAGCATCTAAACCTAATATAGTAGTTGCTCTTTTACCATCATTATAATACAGCAGATTGATGTTAGTGTGGGTACAGAGCATTTATGTCGTCTTGTGTGTTCTTTCAGAGTTCAGACTGCTCTTCCCTCAGCTGACTGGTGTCCTCACTTTGGCCTTCTTCATTCACAACTGCATCATCACATTAATGAAGAGCAACAAGCACCAAGAGAACAATGTGAGCCTTTTCACCAGTGCTCCTGCACAGCTTTACATATTGCAAACATATGCATAACATTGTACTAATCTGGTCTCTGTTGATTTAGTTCAGATAACACAGTTCCATCTCAATTATTATTGTTATTTTTTGAGGGAATTGTGTGAGTCCTTATCAGTGTTGACAGTGGCTTTAATGTCCTTTTAAGAAACAGGGAGGAAAGAGTCTTCAAAGAAAATGTTGACAAAATTTAGTCGAGACAAATCTCTCCCTTCATTTCCCCATAATAGTTTTTTGACCTCAGAAAGCACAAGTGATAAGTGATGAGCTGAGTCTAAGGGGTGTTTTGGTGATTTCAGGTGCGGGACCTCTCTGTGGCTTATCTTCTAGTAGGACTGACCTATCTATATGTGGGAGTTTTGATCTTTGCTGCCTTTCCCGCACCTCCTCTCTTCAAAGACTGCATTGAACCGGTGAGATTTACACCTCAGTTTTTTCATCTTGTGGTGTTTTTATTCAATTTTCTACCTCTGTCTCCAAGGTGTTTATGTTTTTGCCATATAAACTTGAACTATAACTTTACCTTATAGGCCAAAGATAAGTATTTTTTCCTGAACATTTTTTAATTTTTTTTTAATTTTTGTGTATTCTATACACATTTTCTGCCATTTGAACATTTTGCAACACTAAACAGTATTTTCGAAGTCCTTTCAACTACTGTTCACCAAGTTTGATGCTTAACACTTTGGGTTGTGCATTAAAAAAACGTTATGGCCATGACATTTTCCACAGTTCATCCTTGTACAAAGAAAGCCCTAGTATTACCAGATAGGATTTTGGTATTGTGGTCTGAAACTCATAACCTTGATAAGAGTGTCTGATTTATAATCTTTAAACTAGATAGATTATTATCCCTATTTCCAGTGTTCAGCATTTGGGAGGATATTTAGTCAGAAATGGAATATAATATTCATAGGTATGTTTTCATTAGTGGTCATTACAGTAGTATATATCTGTACATGCTGCGGGTCTGGCTGCCATGTTGAATCAAACACTGGCTCTAGAGAGGGCTGTTCGCTTTTCGCTGCCACTGTAGTTTTCCCTTTGTGCTTTGAAGGGGAGGGTGAAGCAAGCGAGTTTCAGACTGAAACTAAACTTCTAGATGCTACTAAATCCTACACACTGGCCCTTTAGCAGGAGTAGTACTTAAGATAAAATAGCTAAAAGACTTGCCATCATTTGACATTTAATTACAACTGGATTAAATTTACTTTAGCAACTTCATTTTACAATTATTATAAATAATTATAATCTTGTTTACAAACAAAAATGTTTGCAGTACAGAACATGTTTGAGCTAAGAGGGATAAGAGCAGTTTAGTATTTTGGAAGACTTAAAATCCAAGTTCAATCAAAGTTCTTCAGATGCATTCCCATTTTCTCAATTTGACATATTAAAATGCTTCTTTTTTACTTGTATGTATTGAGTATTCATTACATAGACATACACATAGAAACACAGATTATATTCCAAAATTCTGAATTGGAGAATAACAACAAACTGCTGGTCAAAAGCAGTTAGCAATATAGCTATAGCTTTACAGTCAATATTATTTTATACTGTAGCTTCTACACAGATTTGTGAAACAAAGCCCCCTCTGCTTTCTTCCCTTCTGCAGAACTTCTTAGATAACTTCCCCAGCAGTGATGTGATGGTGTTTGTGGCTCGGACCTTCCTGTTGTTCCAGATGATCACAGTCTACCCCCTTTTGGGATACTTGGTGCGGGTCCAGATGATGGGCCAGATATTTGGCAATCATTACCCCAGGTAACACTGAATATTATCATTTAAGGTCTTGTTTTGTTATTTCTGTGGAAGCAGACCTGCACAGCAGACTGATATTGATAATTGATATTTTGTGCAACATTGTGTTTTAATTTGAACAAAAATAAACAAAAAGATTTGGTAAAATATTACTAGCCTGAAATTCAGACTAAGTGGCAATTTTGCTACGTCTTCATTTAGGTACTCTGACACTAGCTGTGTCCTAATGCATGGCTGCCTTCTCCAGATTTACTTGAAAGCCCATGCAATTTTCTCTTTGAAATTTGTGAGTGCAGTCCCTCAAATTATTAGTATATAATAAATATATTAGTACATCTGGACCTTAATTTTTTATTTCAAATTGTAATGTTCCTTTGTCTTAATCGTGTACTTTTTGCTTAACACCCTCCGGACCTTCCAGATTTAAATATATTTAATACAGCCCTACCAATAATAGTCATAATATCAATGAGAGTACCTCAGGAAGAGTGTCCAGAACAGACCAACAAAATCACAGTATAGACAAATTATGATGACAAAATTCAGATACATGTAGACTGTAAAACAAGTATATGACATAACATTAACAATAAATCTTTGCAATATGAATTTTATATTTGGCATTCATAAACCAGCTTTTTTTGGCATTAAGAATGAAGATTAAAGATGAACTCTAATAGTTTTCAGTCTTTTGGGTAGTAAGTCTGCAATCTTTCAGCATATCATAGGTTTTCATGTTGTCTCTTTTCAGTTTCTTCCATGTTCTAGCTTTGAACATCTTAATTGTTGGAGCTGGTGTCCTGATGGCCAAGTTTTATCCCAATATTGGATCCATCATAAGGTATGTTTAAATGTATTGCCCTGTCTATTTCTACTATATGATTGGTAATAATGAATTGTCCAGTAAGCAGGATTTAGTGGCATCTAAAATAAAGTGATTATTATTTTCAGCCTATAATGAGGATATCAAAACAAAGAAAAGTCATGTGTAATTCTATTCGATTATATAGGAAATTCAGGTATAACTCAGCAGGATGCATGAGAGTTATAGTACAGGGCTCGAAACAAATTTTTTCACCACCTTCCCAAAACTCACAAGGGGGTGAGCTAACATTGTTCCACAGCAGTCACTGACAAGGCTGTCTGCAGATGTGTCTGAAGACATTTTTATTTATCGGCCTCGTGAGCGCAGACTTTGGCTGATGCTGATTATCTCAATATGCCAAATAATCGGCCTGATTAATTAACTAACCAGATCGGTTTATCACTAGTAGTGACTATACTGTTGCATGTAGATAGCCAAGTCTAACATAACTGAAAACAACCTTAATAGTCATTTAAAATACTACTAGCATTTCACTACAAGGTACAAGGTCATTTATTTTGTCATTATACAACACAAGGTTGCACAAGGGCTGTGTTTCAGAGGCAGAGCAGGTCGTCCACTAATGGGAAGGTTGTTGGTTCGATCCTTGGCTCCTCCCGCCACGTGTTGAAGTATCTTTGAGCAAGAATCATTCCCGAATCGCTCTTGATGCATTGGTGTGTGAATGTGTATGAATGCTTTAGCTGTGTGTAATTTGAATTTCTCCTACGGGGGATTAATAAAGGTATATCTTATCTTATTTATATACATATATGAATACAAACACGTAAACACCCAGGAAATAATTGTGCAGTGCATGTTCTGAATTTGCATCAAAGGGAATGTAAACAGCAGCGACAACATAGTGATGATAATATGGTTTCATCTTCACATCAAAAGAAACAGTGGCCATCTACTTTGACTGCGTTTGAGCGCAAACCAGCCTCTGATGCCGAAATGCATCATTTACGGGATATGCTAGTTTTTGCTAACCCTCTACTTAGTATTTTTCTATTTTGGTACAGTTTCTATTTGTTAAGAAGGAGGGAGCTAGCATTGTTTGCATTGTATTTTATTGTTGACTTGTGATCCCTTACTAAATGTTTACTCTAAATGTCTCCACTTGCAGGTTTTCTGGAGCAACATGTGGCTTGGCTTTAGTGTTTGTCTTTCCTGCCTTGGTCCATATGATCTCCCTACGAAGGCAGGGGTTGCTCCGCTGGCCATCAGCCCTCTTCCACATTTGCCTGATCTTGCTCGGCATTGCCAACCTGCTAGGTCAGTTCTTCATGTGAGAGTCAGACACTCTTAACTGTTCAGAAGCCAGATTAAAAGGTGTGATTTGAAATTAGATGTAGAATAATGTGCATAACCGCACTTAAGTCATGGCCACCAAAATAATGCTTAGATAAACCACGGCAGCCTTCAGCCAGTCAGATTAAATGTCTGTGTTATAAGATTAAATATCGCACACTTCCTGTAGTACAAGTGATGGCCTGTGATTTGTAGAGGTTTCAGGGCAACAACATGAATCCAGTGTCTTCTTTTTATAAAAGTATTTTTTTATTTTCTTCATGCAGTCCAGCCAGTGGATGAAATCTTCCTCATAAATAATTTCTCAGATGATACTGTTGTTTATACCTGCCTAGACTGATCCCAGACAGCTTGCATAGACACACTGTGAACTGTTCTGAAACTGTCTTTGATAACATCAGCAAGATGTAGCAAGATTTCAGGAACATTTGGAATATGGGACACTATTGAGAGCTATAAGACAACCAGGGGAGCATCTTGTTATTTAAATTCATACAGTACAGTTAACTCTACAATTAATACTTTTTGTAACAGTGAATCAAACACCAATTTTACCTTGCAGGGAAATATCAACTAAATCTGTAGCTCCGCTTAGCTTTACAGGGGTTTATAGTGGTTTTTAGCTCATTGTTTCGCTGTCTGACCCACAGCTATACTGGTTTGGTTCATTGTCACAGCTCTCATAGCGTTGTTTTCAGGGAAACATCTCTAAAGCTCTGTTGTACACTACTTCCTCAGCACCAGTTGGTAGAGACCAAAAACTGAGCTAAAATTGAGTTTATATTGAACTTAGATTGATCAGGTGACACAAAAACCACTCCAACGTTACTGCTGCTCCTGAACGTGTAAATAAGCAACTGTTTGCTGACAAGATCAACTTAAAAGGTGATGATGTGTCGATGTTGTGTTCACAATTGGAATTGTTTCCACTTCCCCCAAGTGAACAAAAAATCAGTTACTGCAGGTTAAAATTTGTTACATGAGAAGCTTCACAGCTGAATTTTATGATCATTGAGTTCACCAGGGAATTTACTAACTTTGTGATTATGTAACCTGTGTATATGTATTGTTGTGTGCATATTTTTTGAAGAAACATTTGGCACAGTCTTTTAATTTTTATGAAGTGTTGATTTACATGTATGACATGTTTACATGATTCCTAGATGATGTGTCCAATGTGTTATATTTTACTAATGATAGGATAGACAAAGGGAATATGTGTGTGAAAATAAACCATCTCAGTCTGTAAGAATTGTAGTTTCCTGTTTGCTTTTACTCATCATTAAATAATAATTAGGGACCGAGCCAGCAACCGGCAAGGTCCCTATTGTTTTTGCTTGATTTCTTCTTCTTCTTACCTATTATTATTTTTAGCCCCCTTTGACTGCATTTTTGCCCCCCTGAACATATACGAAAAGTCAATTTTATTTGGCAAAATTGATTGATTCGCACAAAATTTTTCACGTAGCATCTGAGGACCCTCATAATAAAAAAGTGATTAACAGAATTTTGATATTTCAAAAAACCAGCACGTTATAAAATTAGCACTTCCTGTGGATTTTTCGTCAAAAAAGGAAGTGGACCATTTCTCCACATTGGTATGTCCAATTGACACCAAACTTGGGTCCATAGTTCCACATGTCTTCCTTAAGCATCGTGCACAATTTCAGGCCATCGCCACTAGGTGGCGCTCTTTAAAATGTAGAAGTTTATATCGGTTATATCGGTATGTGTGATTAAAATGAAACTTGTTACGATGCTTCCCCATGGCTCCCTGAGGCTCCCTTAAAAAGGACAAAAAAAATAGGTGGTGCTCTTTTGGCATGATAAATCACTGTGCAGAGACCGTAATAGTTATGAATATGAAATTCACAGGGTACGTGTACAGTAGTACCTGAAGCTCACATAACTTGTCTACATGACAATATTAAGACATAGTGATAGCGCTACCTACTGTCAACAGGAAGTAAGCGCTGCGTGGCGATTTTGAGCTGATTTACGTGAAATTTCACGTCTTGGTCCGCACGTGTTACGATGGCACGCAACGCGGCCGCAGCACGCCCCAAGTTGCGTGGAGTGCGAGGTCCCGCCCCAACGCTGCTTGCAGCTTTAATTATTTTTAGCCCCCTTCGACTGCATTTTTGCCCCCCTGAACATATACGAAAAGTCAATTTTATTTGGCAAAGTTGTCAGGCCTGGTAAAAATGGGGATATTCTATGCGTCGCTTTTGGGTTGGCCACTAGGTGGGGCTACTATCATAAAACTTGTGTTTAGGCTAATAACTTCTGCATAGTTTGTCGCACATTCATAAACCTTGTATCCACGCATCCGGTGAATGGAGCTGAATCTCCCCATATAGGCCCCGCCCACTTCCGCCTATAATTTTTTTTCGTTAGAGTGCGAAATGTCCTTAAACTACTTTTTCGTGTTCCTCCTGCACGCTTTGTCCGATTCGCACGAAAATTGTCACCTAGCACCTGGGGACCACGCTTGCAAAAAGAGTAATTTGAAAATTTTTGAAATTTCAAAAAGTAAGAATGCTATAAAATTCCAACTTCCTGTAGATTTTTTGTCAAAAAAGGAAGTGGACCATTTCTCCACATTGGTATGTCCGATTGACATCAAACTTGGGTCATTAGTTCCCCATGTCTTCCTTAGGCATCGTGCACAATTTCAGACCATCGCCTCTAGGTGGCGCTCTTTAAAATGAAGAAGTTTATATCTCCATAACGGCAAGTTTGATTGAAATGAAACTTGGTACGATGCTTCCCCATGGCTCCCTGAGGCTCACTTAAAAATGTGTCAACAATCCGCCACTAGGTGGCGCTCTGGTGGCATGGTAAATCACTGTACGGAGACCGTAATAGTTATGAATATGAAATTCACAGGGCACGTGTAGAGTGGTGCCTGAAGCTCACATACCAAAAATCGTGTTCGTCATGTTTGTAGCGCCCCCTACAGGATAAAAAAACAGCAGCCCCGGCGCCACGTTTCACCGATGTGTACGAAACTCGGTAGGCACGTGTAACATGCCGGGACGTACAAAAAAGCCTCTTGGACCCATACCCGAAACCCCACGGGAAGTCGGCCATTTGGATTTTCATTTTCACTTTCGGCAAACTTTTCGTGTTGTATTTGAACGAACTCCTCCTAGGGAATTTATCGGATCTGCTTCAAAATTTGTCAGTACAGTCACATAATGGTGCTGATTAAAAGTTGTGCTATTTGTGCATGTACATTAAAGGGCGTGTCCGTGGCGTGCCCTCAAAGTCAGCCATTTTGATTTTGTTGGTCATTTTCTGTGATTTTTCACGCTGTATTTGAACGAACTCCTCCTAGGAAATTTATCGGATCTGCTTCAAAATTGGTCAGTACAGTCAAAAAATGGTGCTGATGCTATTTGTGACTGTACGTTAAAGGGCGTGTCCGTGGCTTTCCCTGAAAGTTGGCCAGGTTGAATCGAATGTCAAACTGTGATGCTATTTTTGGCATTTAATGGCTTCTGTTTTAACTAACTCCTCCTACAGATTTTATCAGATTGACTTCAAATCGAATCACTTCAATCTACACACATCGGTTATCAAAAGTTGTGCTATTTGTGACTGTGTGTTTCACCGTGTGCCTGTGACGACGTGTCGAATTCCACCGATTGGCCATCAAACAGATAGTACTCAGTGTACAGTCCCACCCTGAACACGTCCTCATAACTTCAGCGTACATGATCGAATCTCAATGAAACTTCACGTGTTTGACAACAGTCCCACCCTGAACACGTCTACATGACAATATTCAGACATAGTGATAGCGCCACATACTGGTAACAGGAAGTATCACGTTTTATACTTTCATGTTGTACTCTTTGCAGGATGATCAGATCCAGCTGAAATTTACTTATGAAATGCAAAACACATTGTTGATAATATGTGTTGACTGTGGTGAGGGGGTGTGTCTGTGGGGTGGCGGGAAATTTGATGGACCGCCACAAAACACGAATTCGCTATAACTTCAGTGTACATTGTCCAATCGGCTCCACACTTCAAATGCTTGATAACAGTCCCCCCCTGAACACGTGTACATGACAATATTCAGACAAAGTGATAGCGCCACCTACTGGCAATAGGAAGTAAGCGCTGCGTGGTGATTTTGAGCTGATTTACGTGAAATTTCATGCTTTGGTCCGCACGTGTAACGATGGCACGATTTATCTCATTAATAGACTTTATTGGCTTCTGTCAGAGTGTAAATGAACCAACTCATTGTTTTAATCACCCTCCTGACCTCGTTCTATCATATGGCATTGATATTGAACATTTAATAGTCTTCCCCACAAAAATCCTTTTCTATCTGACCATTATTTAATCACTTTTAATTTATATTACTAGATTATAAGCCATTGGGCAAAACCTCCTACAGCAGATTCCTATCTGACAGTGCTGTAGCTAAATTTAAGGGGGAGATTCCATCAGTGTTTAATTCTATTATGTTTGTATAGGACTCAATAACCACACCATGTAGCTCCGTTCGTGTTGCATTTTTTACTGACCTGCCGCACACCTTACATTTTCGACACTGCCGTACATCACCGCTGTAAGCCTTAAAGGCACAGTAACCTGTCACTTGCGGTGCATAACATATAGACCAACAGGCCACAATACTGAACATTTCAGACATAACATTTTCCCCCCACCCCCCTGGAAACTGAAACATAACATTCAGCCCACATTCCCCAGTGTCACTATCACCCTGTCACATAGTCCCCATGCCAGATGGGCGGAACCCTCATTCTCTGAGGGCATGCTGGCCGTGAAGCTGCGTCAGGCGGTGCTGGTGAGATACCCCCCACCCGGTTAGCTCTTGGCCTGGGCTGCCAACCTAGAGCCGCTGCTGGGGACGGAGGTGATGCCGGTGCTGAGGGGGCTGTGACTCTGTGCAGGCGGTTTGAGTGCCAACGAGTCCCATTCTCCAGTCTGTAAGCGGCCCCAGCTGCTTAGTCACCCGCAGAGGCTCTGACCAGTATGACTGCAGCTTATTTTGGCGGTGGAGGTGTTTGATCCTGACCCAATCCCCTGCAGAAAGTGAGGGGGTCTGCACTCTGTGCGTGGCATCAAATCTCTCTTTTATCCGAGCCTGCGAACCTTCCACCTGAGCTTTTGCTTTCTCTCCCACGTGCAGTAGCTGGCTCAGCTCTCAAGCGGTCCAGTGGTTGCTTTAGTTCGCGCCCAATCATGAGCAATGCAGGTGACTCTCCTGTGGTGGAATGCTTGGATGCCCGGATGGTCAGGAGAGTTTGGTTGAGTGCGTCGCTGAAGATTTTCCCTTCCTCTAGACAGGCTCGGATTCCATTTTTGAGAGTTTTATTCAGTCTTTCCACCCCCCCCATTACTCTCTGGGTGATACACTGCTGTCCTGATGTGCTTGATGGACCGTATCGTGAGAAACTTTGTGAACTCCGCTGAAGCAAATTGGGCCCCATTATCCGTTGTGACGACACTGGGGAGGCCCCAGCACCCAAACAGGTTGTCCAGGCGGTCGATGATGGAGTGTGCAGTGATGGAGCTCAGTTGAAAAACCTCTGGCCACTTTGAATGAAGATCGTGCACAACCAGCAGGTAGCGAGCGTGAGCAGGTGCCCCGTGAAGTTCTCCACAGAGATCGACCTGAATATGTTCCCAGGGTGAGGACGGCCAAGGGGTTGGGGTGAGAGGGGCTGTGGCAGGCTGACCAGTTTTCCCACTCAGGAGGCAGCAGGCGCAGTTACATACCAGCTCCTCAACATCAGAGTCTATGTGGGGCCACCACACTGTGTCACGACAGCACTGCTTCACCTTGACCACCCCCAGGTGCCCCTCATGCGCCATGTGTAGTACTCTGGACCTGAGAATCTCTGGAACGGCCGCACGGTGGCCGCGAGCTAGGCACACCGCCCCCCAGCAGGAGAGCTCGTCGTGGAAGCGGTAGTAGGGGAGCAGCCTGTCATCCACTCTGGCAGGCCAGCCGTCCTGGACGTATGTGCGGAGAGTTGTGAGGGCCTCATCAGCAGCTGAGGCCTGCTGCAGCTCCGCCAGGGTGACCACTGGGCTGAGGGGCCTATGCAGGATGTGGACCCAGTCATCGTCGCTCTCTTTGTCTGACGGCACCCCGCCTGTCTCCTTCGTCACCGAAACAGCTCTAGACAGGAGGTCGGCCACCGTGTTGGCCTGCCCAGGCATAAACTCCAGACTGAAGTTGTACTGGTTCAGCCTGTCAGCCCACCGCAGCAGTCTCATGGGCCTGTGCCCCGAGCCTTGAGTCGCCAGCAGTGTAGTCAGCACTTGGTGGTCTGTGCGAATGGTGAAAGGCC